GTCCGTCTTGTGTGCGCGGTGTTCCCCTTCGTGGCTTGCCTGGTCCGGTTGCATGCCTTTGGCTTGGGGTCATTTCTTCCCGGGGAGATTGGTGTTCATCGCCGCCGGCTGCGCTTGTTCCCTTTTTCCATACCTTCGCTTGCCTTTCTGTTGGCCGTCCTTCCTGTCGCTCTGTGTCGGTGTGTGGTTAGGTGTTTCCTTGTGTCTCATCCCTCTTCTTGGCGCGCTGTTTCTCACATACGGGTGCTGGAAGAGGGTTTGTCTTCCTGTCGCTATGTCCCTCCTTCTATCTCTTTCCATGTTTTTTCCCTTCCATCCTACACCGGCCATACTTCGTCTGTACTGATACGATCGCGTCGTCATACGTCCCTCTGTCCTCTCCTGCCCTCCTTCTTTGTTCTTCCATATTTTTGTTGTTCGGCCTTCAGGGTCGCTCCCTTCTTCCTTTCCACATTCTTGTCCTTGCCGTCCTTATTCACATCTTCTTCTAGTTCTTTAATCCATTTTTGTATCGCTTTTCTTCCTCCTCCCTCCTTCCCATCTTATACAGTTCCGCTCGCCTTCCTCCACCTCGCTCTCTTCTTCCATTTTTCCTTCCCCCCCCCCTCATTTCCTGTTCCTCCCCTCCTTTCCTCTCCCCCCCTCCCCCCACCTGATGTGTGAGCAAACTTCATTTTCATCCCTTGGGCGTGCGGCAGGTCGCAGAGCCTGTGATTCAGTGCACCCGAGGGCCGCCCGATCATTCTCCGCCTCCCACGCCCACCTGCTGCTCAGATCCAGTCTTTTTTATTTTGCTGTTATTCTTCTTTTTCATAATCGAAATTTAAGGCCGCCTCTAGCTCTCCTTTGATTTTTGTTTCTGATCGTTCGTTCTTTGATTTTATTTTCTAGGGTTTGTTCTGGTTTTGTACTTTTTGTAACTTGTCTCTCTGTCTCTCTCTCTATCTTGTCTCCTCTCTCCTCTCTCTCTCTCTCTCTCTCTCTCTCCTCTCGTCTCGTCTCCTTCTCTCTCTCTCTCTCTCTCTCTCTCTCTCTCTCTCTCTCTCCTCCTCTCCCTCTCCTCCCTCTCTCCCTCTCTCTCTTCTCTCTCTTCTCTCTCTTCTCTCTCTCTCTCTCTCTCTCCCTTCTCTCTCTCTCTCTCTCTCTCTCTCTTCTCTTCTCTCTCTCTCTTCTCTCTCTCATCTCTCTTCTCTCTCTTTCCCTCTCCTCTCTCTCTCTCTCCTCTCTCTCCTCTCTCCTCTCCCTTCCCTCTCCCTCCTCTCTCTCGCACTCCTCCTCTCCTCTCTCTCTCTCTCTCTCTCTCTTCTCTCTCTCTCTTCTCTCTCTCTCTCTCTCTCTCTCTCTCTCTCTCTCTCTCTCTCTCTCTCTCTCATCTCTCGCTGCTGCACCTGCCGCATCTGCCGCTTGTCAGCTTATTGGTTCGTATCCAGTTATTTTTTTTTTTCTATATTTCATCTTCCTTTTGTCTCTATTATTTTCGTCTTTTTTATACCCTCTCCTATTTATCTTTCTATTCCGTTTTCTTGACTTTTCCCTCTTCCCCGTCATCATCTTCCTGTCTCCGTTAAGTGTTCCATTAGCTGGAGTTTCCTTACTCTTTTTGTCGTTAATTATTCCACTGTGCCCTAACTTTTTCACTTCCTCCTTCCCTCTGGTCCTACTTCTCCATTCCCTCCTTCTGCGCCTCCCAGCCTCTCTTTCCTCCATCTCCCTCCTTTCTCCTTCCTCCCTCTCATTCTTCCTCCCTCCCTCCTGGCTCCTTCTTCCTTGCTTCTTCCCCCACTAATACTGTTTCCATTCCCCAGTTTCTCCTTCTCTTCCCCCTAGTAACTCCTATCCTTTTCCCTGTCTCCCTCTTTCTTTCCTTTCCTTTTCTGTCCCTTTTCCCAATCATTTCCCCTTCCCCGTGCCTTTTTAAAATTTTTCTCCTCCATTCTCTTCTTTCTCTTCCTTGTTTTCTTTTACATACATTTCCCTCTCCCTCTTTTCTCTCTCCATCCTTACCGTCTCCGCTTCTCTCCCCCTCCTTCTCCTTCCTCCTAACTTCTTTACTGCTCCTCCTCATCCTTTTTCCTCTCCTCTCCTTTTCTTCTCCATTACCCCCTTCTTCCTTCCTTTTCCCTTTCCCCCCCTTTAGCAGCCTCCTACTTGAAGCCCAGTTGTCGGGAATTAGTCTGCTATCAACTCCCCAGCGTAGAGATTCTTCTGCTCATAAACGCGCGGAGATCGGCTTTGAGATCCCCCGGCGAGGTGCAATCTCCGCCCGATGCCTTGTTCTTGTGTGTATGTGTTTTTTTAATGATTCTCTCTTTTCTGTATTTTTTTTCCTTTTTCTGTTGTTCATTGTTTTTTTTCATTTCTGATTTCTCTTCTCGCCTGTTTTTTGTCCTTCTGTCTTTATCCTTTCTTGTGTATCTTTTTTTCTTCTCTCATTTTCTCTCTCTCTCTCTTCTTCTTCTCTCATTCCTTCCTCTCATCTCTACTCTTTTCTCCTCTCTCT